AATGTTTATGTACCATGGGTGCCTCGTCCCATATAATAAGTTTTGCCCTCTTAACCAAAGCAGACAAATCACTTCCTGGTTTTATCCTACAGATCGATTCATCAGTCACGTTAATTGGTATATGAAACCTTGAGTGAGCTGTTTTTCCACCAACTAACAATAATGAAGCAATTCCACTGGAAGCTACATTTAGTACTATTTCTCCTTCTTTTCGAGTTGCTGCTGAAAGTGTGCGCCAGACATAAGTCTTTCCAGTTCCACCATAACCATACACGAAGAATAATCCTCCACTCTCTTTTTCAACTGCATCTAAGATTTCTTTGTAAATTGCCCTTTGTTCGTCAGTTAGATTACCATATAGGACATCATGTTCTTCCCTCAATGAAGACCTGTTGTAGTCTAACTCATCGAGGATCATGGTATTTGTCCCATCCTCAATGAATACGTCGCCAGGATATGGTATACTTGAAAAATCCTTCAAGGTCCTACCATGAGTTCGTAATATTAACTCAATCTCCTTCAGTGCATGCAATTGTAGCTCACCTTCAGACACAATGTAATCTATATATAGCATTTTAGTATCTATGTATATTAAAAAAAAGATGTGTACTAATTTAAATGTGTAATATAATTGAAAAATATTTTCATGACACACCTTCATTTCTAAACAACCGTTTCAATTTCAATGGGATATCTTCTGTGTAGCATTCCCAAGTTTGATCCAACACATTCTCAGGCTTTGACAAAATATCACCATCCAATAGTTCAGCAAATAGATGTCTGCAGTAGGTTGCTGTACCCCAAGTTGATGCTTCAAGAATGCAATCAATATATTCTTTGTCATCTTCTAGTAAACCCCTTGCAAAGCAAGCATCTTTGAATGTCATATGTTGTACACCATCTACTGTCATTATATCTTCATAACATGTCGGGCCTTTAACAATATTAAGGAGCATCCTGAGGTAATAAGGTTCACCAGATGCTATAGGTACCCCATGAATTCTTCCAATGCTTGAACCTCTTAGTCTTGGCTTCCAAATTCTATCTTTTCTTTTCCACACAAATTTGGAAGGAAAATTAATGTAAGTAAGATTCATAGCATCAGGGTAAATGGCATTACATTGCATCCATCCAGTGAACATCGATTCTATGTTGGAAGCCCTGCTTATTACTGTTTCCACAGTTTGATCCTCATCGTATACGACACTCTGTTGACCAGGCATATGGAAACTTAGCCTTTCAACATGATGTGTTCTATGATGTATTGGAAAGTTACAGATACGCAATGCAGCTTCACAACCTGAAAGATATCCACCTTCATACCAATCTTTTACTTCATCCTTTGGGCGCTTATCATAATCTTCTCTGATTACTTCTCCGTTCATTGTATATTTGAATGAAACTCGGTCGGATCCTTTATTCAAGTATTTGAATAAGTATTTAATAGCACCTGCTTGATTACACCATTCTACATTGATGTGTGCATGAAACCTGAGTGTCAAATACCAATTGTAACCAACCACCCATGTATTATCTATTGTAGCACCATTCTTTTCAAATTTATTACCATCATTACGTCTCCTGTAATCAGGGAAACCATCATCACCTATTGTAGTTTCCTCTTTGAACTTTTTAGGGAATTTTTTTGAGCATTCATCTTTTACCATGCAAGGACTGAAAGGAAACTCTTTACCACAAGGACCATGAATCATCATCTCAGTAACAATGTTGTATAGAACAGGATTATTATCCTTATCTGGTAGTTCAGCACATATGAAGTTATCAATATCCTCTGGTTTGGATAGTTTGTCATCACGATGTAACCACACCACTATATGTGCATGAGGTAGCCCTCTTTTCTGGTACTCAACCGTGTAGACGGCTGCAAAGTTAGTACACTATATTAACTGTATGGAATAATTACTATTGATGTATAAAAACATAAAGAAATTTTAAAAAAACCAATATAAATGATAGTTCAAACAAACCTGCTTCCTGACGGCCAAATACCTCTTTAGTTTTTATCTCTTTCATCAGTCTTTCAAGCTTCATCATGAACACTCTTGAAACTATATCTGGTCTATCTTCGGGCCTCAATACTTTCTTGTCGCAATATCTTAATATTTCTGGCCACTTGTTATTACATGTAAATGTTAGAAAAACATCCGGATAACCATATGTCTTAACTATAGTCATTGCATCGATGTAATTCTCCCTTTTCCATCTTTCACCTCCTGTGAAAGTAGAAGGTATTATCACTCTCTGACCAACATCTGAAGCTTCAGTATTTCCATTGTCAAGCTGCTTTCTAATGTTTTCATAAGTGTCACATCGAAGATTTCTTTGATTTCTCTTGACCCAAAATATCCTACCAGCTTCAACTGCACTGTATCCATCAACTAAAAACTGTTGAAAAAGTCTACGTCCATATAGCAGCATTGATCCATCCATGTCTCTGTCCTGTATACGGTATGCAAACCACTCACACATACTCATCCATTTAAGCGGGCCTTTTCTTTCGTCATATACCCCTTCAATATCATCACAATACACATTTTCATCTTCGTCAGAATCTGATTCTGGATCTCCAAGCTTTATGTTGATCCGAAAACCATCTTCACCGTAAGGAAACAACAAAGGATATTGAAGTGAGATGTACGATGGGTGCAACTCATTTATACGCTGAAGTTGTCCAGATTTATACTGAACAATTATATCTCTTGTCTCAGTTTCATTTCCTTCATCGCCAGGTAATATAGCTGCGACTTCATCAACAGTTGGAAGATTGTGCGTTCTAGCATCAGTTTCCCTTGTGGAAATTAGCTTTAGTCTAATCTCACTTGAAGAATCTGATTGGACAGTGTCACGCACTTTTCTGTATGTTTTAACCAAAACATTGTGTTCATCCATCGTATTCTTTATGTCATTCACAATCTGAGCATCAAGCTCCTTTGTTTTTTTTCGATTTTTCCCGGAACTGCATTGTCATAAATAGCACACAATATAATATAATGGTTTAAAAAGTGGATCATTGATAAAACATTTAAATGTAAAAGCTATTACAGTACATTCATGTAAGTATTGAAATGTACCTTAAAGCTCCAATCCTATTGCTGACTTCATTATGGGTATCATATATGTATAACTGAAAAAATTTAGGTTTGGAATCATCCTCTGGAAGTAAACTACCCATGAGATGGCTATTGTGTCCTTGCATTTTGAAAACATATGGGCCACGTCCATCATTTATTGAATTAACTATGTTACCACCCATAGAAGTAAACGCGAACATGTTATTATACGCTCTGATATTATCCAAGAAATGTTTGCTTTTATCATCATTTGACATGAACAGATGTTTTAGTTTAAGAGGTGGTTCTTTAAGGAAGGGTAAATGTATTTTTCCTTGCTTGCAACACAGAGAGAATTTAGGTTGCTCAGGTCTCCTTTTCTTGTTCACTCTTTCTTCATACCACATGTTAGATCCACAATATTCACATACATAAATTGGATCTCCCAAGTCATCGTACTCTGTAAAAAAAGTATATTTACATATCATGTATTATACTGATTAAATAATTGTTGTATGACTGTTAATAGATTATGGTGTACATGGATTGGTAGAATGTTACCTGTATTTATGCATGTTAAATTCCTGCTAATGAATTTGTATTTTCCAGGCCGCAAATTTTTTCTCGATGCACCTGTTGTGGTCTGATGAAGAATAGACGGATTTGATGATAATTTATCATCCAAAACAGCTTGCAGACAAAATCAATTTCACAACAAACAATAAAGCAAGGTTAGATTTTAGAACTTCAATTACTCTATATCAAATTTGTTTCATATACGATTCCAGATTTGTACAATGGAAAATCTATTAAATTGACAAAAGAAATTAATAAAAAAAGATGATGGCTTACATGTTGCGTTATCATTACTTTTATCTTTTTGGAATTGTGATCTGGATAATCGATTGGAACAAATGGATTCCTTCATAGGTTGTGAACTTGTATCCCTGGAATACATGAATGTGAAATTACTCGATCCATGAATAGCAATACCACCCATCGTAACAACTGGTTTTTCTGTGATAACTTTACCCTTCCTTTTATCCAAAAATACCTTCCTCTTCAATCTGTAAGATCTTCCACAACTTGGTTTAACACTGATCTCTGACATTTGCTCACCATGGATGGTTGACCTGTTTCTTTACATATCTAACAACTCTTTTCTATCAATCCTGGACTTTTTCGCAATAACTGGATCAGGACAGGGTAATTCCAATATCTTTATTCTATGAATTCTTTTCTTCTTACCACTGACTTCATAAAGTTGTGGTACAGCAATTGAAACTAGCGGATTACCAGTAACTACCGGTTGATGAAATCTGAGTCTTTTTTTCTGTAAAATCCCCTTTCTTATCAATCTGGCCTCCTTTGCATCCCATTTAGTTTTCATGGTGACTATAAGTTTGTATGATGTTTAGGATTCAAATTTATAAGATGTGTTTAAATAAGAATGTTAACAGGAATATAAGATTGATGTGATTGAAATGATAGAATATATATTAAATTAAATACATTATCAGTAAAGAATATTTTTTGATAGAGATCAATGATGTTGCCTAAAAAATAGGATATAAACACCCAATTCACAGTGAAATTGTCATTAATGTATCTATAATTATATATTCATTTGAAACTTTAAAATTCAGTAAAACCAATTTCATGCATTTACTGTTAATTTCAATTTACTGATTGGATGTTTAGTGGTTATTTATTAAGGACTGGTTATTTCTTATATGTATGATTATATGAATTTATGCGATTGTAAGATAAAAGAGATTGAATTATGGCATTAGATTATAAGCATCAAAATGTCTATGGATAAAACAACGGAAAATCAACATTCAATTATTTAATAGATAATTGTGACTGAAAGTTGGAAACTAATAAGTTTATGATTAATTATTCCAAATAACAAAAAATCTAAAACTATTACAGTACTTCCAAGATTAAATGTTCCTTATTAACTGCCTTTCTTGCATCTATATGAAAACCGAGCTTGATACCAGTAGGGATCCTTTTTAAACCCATCATGTACTCAATGTCTCCTTCGACAATGAAGCGATTAGGATAATCAGATAAATAGACACGACCCATTCTGATAACAGGTTCTTCATCGTAGTATATGATCAAACTATTGTAGTCTTGAATATCAAGTCTTCTGACAATGTGCCATGGTATTTCCTTTCATATTAAAAAATAAAAATCAAATATCCATAATAATAACAGTAAGTGAATGCTATATAATTGAAGGTAAAATTCTGTTTATCGTAAGTTACAAATGGTAACCATTATCTCACCAATCTACCACGTTGAATGACATCAGTGTTCATGACTTCGTTGAAAGTATTCTGATCACTATTAGATCGTATGTAGTCAATTGTGTCAACTTCACCTGCAACAGTGAAGTAAAAATTAAGTCCAGATATAAAAGCATAAATTTAATCAAATAAACTTCTTTTGCATATGAAATGTAAATTGATCAAACCTTCAGATGAATCCGAAGCAGATATATCCTGATCACAACAATAACCTTCAAGGTTGAAAACCCTTAACCTAAAGTATAATTGCCCTGTGTAAATGAATATTACATTTACACCTCGTAGATGATTAAAGTAAAGATCATGAAATTCTGCCCACATTTTGCCTTCAAAACCTACAGGTTCACCCTGTTGTGTATATATATTAAAATTCCACTGTTTGTGTTTATCATCAAGGATCAGTGAAACAGTTTGATTCAAAGGCCAATCTATACCCCTAAAGTACTGTGGGTTAATAACCTACAATTGAAAAACAAAGACAATCAGGACAATAAATTTGTGTACCAAACAGATTGTAAAAATTAAAAACCTCGATAGAAGCTGGAGGAATAATTTAAACTTACACATCAGAGGGAATTGTTAGGATTTAACTCCAAAAGGTACGGATGTCCAATGTTTGCATTAAGATCAGGGGAAAAACGTTGGCATCCATCGTGATTAAAATTGAATAAATGCAGAACATTAGAAGACTTGTGATAAACAACATGATTCTTAGATTGAGGAAAAACACCGATGGCTGCAAAGAACTCCTCAAGTGCAGATCCGTATAATTGGCACCTCTTTTTCTTATTAATATGCATATTTGCAAAAACACTGCGAATCCCTGGTACTTCAATCATGATTTGCTGTCCAACATGTCTTAAAATTGCAGTGAGGTTACTGCTAAGTATCTGATAAAAAGATAAAAATTACAAAGCATAAAAGTAATTATACTAAACTCATAATTGAGATTGTATTATATACTTACCAATCCTTTTGTTCGAATGTTTGCTGGAACTGAAACCAATTGATCATAACCATAATCCATTTTGACTGCTGAAATTCAACGTGTTTTTCTTCTCAAAACTGCAAAGAAGTTTAGCTTTTATGTTTTGTTTAAAACTGAATTTGGGTTATTTGTGAATATACGTTTTTATTCTGTATTTATATACCTATTTAAGATCCCTTATAATTAGGAGTTTATTAGACTTAACAGTTAAGGAATGAAACTCTATATAAATATTTTTTTTTATTAACAACCAATCAACTCTCAAATAATTGATTATTTCACCAGCTTTTTAGGGATAAAATATATCAGTTATCTGTCCATTGTATACACGTTCACATAAAAGTCTTTCAAATTTGATGAAATTGAAACTTTAAAAATTCCAATAAATATACTAATTTTATAGAGAATTTTCAGGATATGAAGATTCAGTTCACTTATCCAATCTGAAATATTCAGTTCAATCTGTCTGTATCTTTACCATTTTATCTAGATTGAAATATTCAGTTCAATCCGTGTGTGTGTTTACCAGTTTATCAATATAGTATTAATTCAGCAGTGCAGGGATAATTATTCATATTCCTGATTGAACTGAATATTTGACATTGAAGACGTTGTGTAACCTGAGATTGAAGACATCAGGGAGATCTTATGGATTCTTCACTTCTTATCTCTTTTTGATCCAATACTATAGAGGTAATTATATTGTTAAATTATAGCATACATTTATGAATATACATGTTTTCAAGTCAATGTTTTGACTTCTGTATGATCACTGTGAATATTTAAAAAGTAATAAGTTTGTACTCGTATATGTCATTGACAAATATCCTACCATTTTATAAACTGCAACCTTCATAACAAACACATTATGATGATCTAGTGAATGGAATTAAAATGTAACATAACAGAATCAACAACACAGAATATTGAAATCAAAAGCAGAACTGATAAAAACTTATGGTTTGTAAAATGATAATGTTCCAAGAAAACGTAAACAAAATAATGAAAAGTTCTCGCAATAATCAATATTCTGGACCGGGAAACATATAAACACCGAAAGGTGTAAACTTTATTATGAAAACAATAAATTGCTGCCATTTCTTTTGATTATCACAGTTTCCTGACCCGCTTGTTGGGGTGAGACTTGACACTTTCTTCACCTTCATGTGCATTTGTAAACTTCTTAGGAGGAGGACTATCGGCAGAGTCATCTCCAATCAACATCAAATCAGTTTCATCAGTGCACTAAACAGCTGTCTGGGCATCCAACGTTGTCGTAAGTTAGCAAGCATGTCTTTTTCACTTCAATAATAAACACTTTGATATTTTAAAGGTACTGTTTGACACATATAAAATACCTTAGCATTCTTTGTCCTGATTTGGAGTCACGAGTGATAGAATTCGCACTTAGCTCTGGGTCAATGTCCTGGAACATTTAAAAAGTTGTCACATAACTATAATGACAATATGTATGTATATGTGTGTATTGGTAAACAATGAAACTTAACCTGATCATCAGAAACAGCTTCGAGGTACTTTTTTATAATATCATGATCAGTAGCAATCCTTGCAACCGATATCTCACTTGTATTGTTCCTAATATCGTAATTGGACACATCCAGCCTGAACAAACACTTTCTCCCCACAATTTCCTCTAGGATATCAGGGTAATCTAAATTCCCCTATATAGGTTATCAATAGGAATCTCGTGTAAGTAATAAACATTTGTATACTATTAGATGCATCGTAATCATCAAGGAAAAAAACTTAGGGAAACATATTGAAGTATACCTCCTGAATTAGTTCGGCAGCACTCTTGTTTATGAAATTGTAAACCATCCTGTCCCAAAGTGTAGCAATCCTGCTACCTGAACCATCAACAACATATACCTGCAGTTTGAATCTGAAGTAGATTGAACAGATAAGAAGTAATTAGTGATTGTATAATTAAATTGAATAATAATTGCAACTAAAATGGGAAAAAAAATCTATAATGCTTAGTATATTGTTTATACTTTGGCCCAACAGTAGAAACAGGTCCATGACTGCTGCACATCCATTTTTTCGGACATGAAATTGCCTTTCCATTATCTGTCCTTCTGCTCTTTGCAAATGATAACTTTTTATTTCCTCCATTGTTCTTCTCAGCATCTTCTATTTCAAAAACCTTTCTGTTACAGAGGCTGCACCCTGTGTATGACCATTCATTTTCCTTTGCTAATCCACTTATCTTAGCAAATACTACAACGTTGCAGGCCTTTAAACAAAAATATTGCAGAATCATTAACGTATACAAATTATAAATTTTATTTATATTATATAATATCAACTCATTACCTGATCCAATTCGCTAATTCCAGACAAAGTTAGCATCTCTGCATCACGGACAAAGTCTTCAAACGTTGTGTAACCTGAAATTGAAGACAGCAGGGAGATCTTCTGGATTCTTGCACTTTTTATCTCTTCTTGCTCCATCCTATAGAGGTAAGTATATTGTTAAATTACAGCATACATTTATGAATATACATGTTTTCAAGTCACTGCTTTGACTTGTATATGCTCCCTGTGAAAATTTAAAATTACCTGTGTTTGTACTCGTATATGTCAGCAATGTTCATATCATTGAGGTATATCCTGCCATTAAATAGGTTGGTTGTAGCTGAAACTTTGGCTGCATTAACACAGCAAACAGTATAAGGATTACATAATAGACATTGCTCATAAGTGAAATCTATGTCTTGAAAACTTACAATAGTACTTTTTACACTTGACATACTGCACAATCAAAACAACAGGATATTCGGGTTCATTATTCATACAATTGAGAACACGGTCAGCGTGTTCTTCCCAAAGAGTAACCTTTAACGTGTCAGCTCTGCATATATGTATACTCTTGTTAATAATATATTTGGACATCCTATTGTTGGATTAAAAAAGCAAAAAAAAAAATCATGTATTTTAAGAAACCAATAGTAAAAGTGTATACCTTTCATCCTCCAGTTGCACAGAAATCCTCTTCTTACCCTTTTCAACAATAGGATCACTGTAGCCAATTATGTGTCCTATCAAATCTGAAAGAAAGGAGTAATTTGTAAAGGTATTTACTTACAAAATAGTTGAATATATGTGAAAGTTATACATGAAAAAAATATGTAAAAACCTGCAGACAAATTATAATTCACACTTACCACAACAATAGTCAAAGTTGGCAACAAAATTCGTAATTTCTGCAAAAGGAGTGTACTCAAATACATTATTAGGTATGTCAAGGTCAACAGCTTGTTCAACCAAAGTGTCAGATCCAAACACAATTTTATACTCGTGTTTGGAGCAACGGTAACCTCCATTTATGTTAAGACAGTGATCAAAACGTGACAGCCTCCTGCAAACACCTTCATCTTTAAAGTACTTTACAAAATCTTTCATGATTCGAGCAGGTATGGTAGCCTGGATCTTGGAACCCTGCATGGTTAAAAATTTTTAATTTATATATAATATACTTAAACATACAAATAGAGTGATGTACATCAAAGAATGTATTTTAAAAAATAAAGGAATAAAAAATACCTGAGCATCAATCAAGACAATTCAAGTGAATTGACATCCTTCTTGTTTTGAGTATCATACATTTTCCATATAGTCATCACACGAACGACAATGTTGAAATGTATGGTTTTGGTTGGCACCAACCCATTGATGTCCACAATATACCTTTGTTCAGCAAGTTGTGGGATTGGAGGAGTAACAGCAGGAGTTCCACTTTGAGCAGTTGAATTCACAGAAGGAATTGTAATATGGGATCCATCATCAGGGGTTTTTGATGAAGACACTGATGTTTGAACGGGAGGAGTAACATATGCTTCCCCTGGGACTTCTTGAAGATCATTGGCGTTTTCTGGAACAACAGGATCAGCTGATGGAATCAAAGCACCTTCAGAAATAGGGATATTTCTTTTCTGTGCAGAATCCATCAGAAAGGATTTTGATTTCTTTTCTGAGAGTTTAAGAATTTTGTTGTGGTTCTTTCAGAAGGACTTTGATATTGATTGAATGATGTTTTTGGATTGATTTATACAGCTATTTAATAACGCTGGGAAGATATGCCATGGATATATCAAGGTAAGTATATCTTTGAGATTTTGAACTTCCCTTTAAAACTGGAGAAGATGGAGAAGAAATATACACACACATTCTGTTGTACAGATATAGATGAATCACTCAAAATTCAAAAACATGGATGTTTATCTTGTAGAATTTTCATTTATAAATGCATCACATCAAGTGAATTGATTTTATTTTGATTGTACAGGAATTCAAGAGTGGTTAAACACGGATGAAGTGCTTAATTTTAGGAATGGAGAATATTCGATTTCATGTAATTATGGTTAATTAGACAGTGTAATCGGTGTACATCTCCTTTTTTTACATCCTTGACTATGACCGGAAAATCATTTGTATATATGAAGATATGATTTTCATTATATTTATTACAGGGAAACGTCCTTATCTCCCTAATTTGCAGTTGAAAATTGGACTTTTTATAATTATCTTATGTAAATGAAAATTAGCTACAGGTTTCTATATTTTATCTGCACATGTTTTGGCGTTTATTTTTTTATTGAGCATTTTTTAAATCCAAATTTTTTTCTCAAAATCTAGAGCGCCACATGTCAGTTTTCATTTTGTACTGAAAAAGGCTTTTGGAGGGAAAATTTTGATTGTGTAACTGACATGTGTCCTTTTTGTTTACTGCTTTAATTAAGTACAATGGATTAAATAAGAAAAAAAAATCAAATTGAGCAATCATTTTGAGATAAAAATTAGAAGGATTAATAGGTAGAACCTCTTTGTCAAAACACTCATTCACATTCTGTTGAATGGTTAACCAAACCAAATTTGAATTAAATTAGTAGGATAGTTCATTCAGTAAAAAATTAAAATCATTGACTCTGTGGACACAACCACACTTTTTTTTTTGGTATCCCCTAGTTTCACGTTATTTTATAAATACATGATTATTCAAAATTTTTGCAAATTTTGAGCAACAGATTAGTAGTACAAAATAAACAGGAAAATAACCAATCACGAATTTAGACCTGTAATTAACCTTTGCTTGTTGTTTTTGGGAAGTTCGTAATTCGGCATGATATAGCCGCACAAGTAATGCCACTAGGAATAGACGAGGAATTCTCAAACTCTGGCAATTATTCGTTGTACTTTGCATTGCGTCAACAAGCAACTCCAATAGGATTAGATATGTGGATGTTTTTTTGGTAAACCGTTGCCTATATAAACAAGGTGAATTGGTGATTTACGTCCCACTTTTATTCTTCAAGAAAAAAGATGTCAGGCGACGCAATCTCGATGTTGTCAGACGAGAAGCTGATTCAGAAAATCCTGTTGAATCTTCCAGCGAAATCACTTATGCGATTCAAGTCCGTGTCCAAAGCTTGGCTTTCGATTATTCTAGATCCAGCCCTTCCCAAATTACATCTTCGTCGTGGACAGCTTCACAGCATCAACTGGGATTTCAAGTATTTGAGTCTTTCCGACAAACAAGTTTCGATTCCCGAGCTCCCCGACAAACTAGTCCGGGAAATCCTGTCATATCTTCCAGCGAAATCAGTGGTGCGATGCAGGTGCCTGTCTAAAAAATGGCAATCGATCATTGACGACCCATCCTCTGTCGATTTGCATTGGTGCCGTGCTTTTAGTTTTAGACCATTACGTATCCTCCGGCACCTTAAAAATTTGAGTCTTTACGACAAAAAAAATTCGATCCCGAAGCTCCTGGAGAAACTGGTGCGGGAAATCCTGTCATATCTTCCAATTAGGTCATTGTTGCGATTCAAGTACGTGTCTAAACAATGGCGATCCATCATCCAGGGTCCACTCTTTTTCTGTCAATACCGTGGCTGTAATCTTTTGCTGCCAAAAACCCTCTATGGAAATTGGGGAGGTGATGTTTATTCAATATAATAAAGAGACTTGTTATTGTTGGTTATAATTATTTTTTAGGGTTTCTTCCTAATTACTTTCGGGTGTTTACAAAATTAATTTGTGATTCGATTTAGACTAAAGTACTTTTGTTACCTAATTAACTTTTAATTTTGATCAACACATTAAAAAGATTCATTGACGATAGATAGATTTAGATGCAACAAACCCTGTGAACAAATTGGAATAAGTTTTCGCTATATCTTCCTGATTCGGTTCATAGGGGTGGGGGATTTGGCAACTTAATATAGTTTAATTAGATTGTGTTTACTTCTTTTCAGTACAATCATAAGGCCAACGTATTCAAAAATTTAACTTAAATTATGTCAGACCTGAATATGCAATACCAAACTTATAGTTTGATTTTCAATGGTCAAACTTGAGATCAAATTCATAAGTTTCTCAAAACTGCAGGTGAGATGTGAGAAAGATTTCATTCTAGAATTTCTACCCCCGTTTTCTTAATTTCTACCCCCGTTTTCTTTAAGAAAAAATAAAATTGTATGTTGAATGAAAATAGTATAAGAAGTATGTTTTTGCCCCCCTTAGGACACGAGAAAATGTTGATTTTAATTTTTTTTTTGGATGGATGGTTTTATAATTCCAACATAAAATGACTTTCACTTTTTTTTTTCTAAAAATAAATGAAATGAATTTCAATAGATAATCACGCCTCAATTACCTTCGATGGTTTTTTTCATCCTCAAACACGGAAAACGGCTGGAGCATGGAAGATTATTTCGTTAGATATGGTAATGCAAGTCAAGACGATGGACATACGAGCTTTATCACCATTCCAGATGGAGATGCTTACTTGTCTACTAGCCCTCAATGAAGTATCGAATTTCAGCATTACCCTGGTTAAGGTTTACAGAGACTGTGTGGCTTTAAGGAAAAACCATAGCAATGCTTCCATACCAACTGAAGCCCAAGAAATTAATAATCTGATTACTTATAGGTTTAATTTTGAGATTCGTTTCTTGCCAATTGATAAAAATTAGTAGAAATAAGGTCCATGAACAACATGATTTAACTTATAAAAAAATATGGTGTAATAGCGAATGTATCTTAAAAAGGTGATACTCTCTCTTCACTAGGGGCAAAAACACCTTTACTGTGTGTTCTCACTCTGCCAACTTTTCAGACGCAATCCGCGTTCGCCATGGCGAAAAAGTTGAAGAAAAACAAGGTGGATCAGCTGGGGAAGAGCAGCAAGAACAACATCTGGTGGGGAAAAAATAGCCTGCGAAGGAATCAAACACCATAGCAAGCACAAGTAAGGTTCGAAAACCTAATTCTGCATTAAATACCATGTCCGAATCGCATTTATTATTGGAAAAATTGTGTAATCAGAGAGTTGTGGTGTCTGATTTGGGAGCTAATCTGAATGAGGAATCAGAATTGAGTAAGATTGGTAAACCTAGAACAGAGGAATCGAACGTATGGGAAGGTTTTGATCCTAAGAAACTTCAAGGTCAAGAAAGGAAACTGTAGTTTATAGAACCTCAAATCAAGAACAATCAAAGCATTGGAAAGCTTATGAAAGATAAAATCCAACAGGAAATCAAATACTAGAAACAATCGATCCTGTGCTGCGTGTTGGGAGCAATTCCTCCTTTTGTAGTGAGGAATGATTCATCAGAAGAATCTGGGGGAAATTGGGAGTTGATAAGGTACTTTTGCTAGAAACTGGGGTATATATTGTGAGATTCAAGTCTACGACAACAAAAGAGGAGGTTCTAAAGCACAAAATTTACCAGTTTGATCAACATCCTGTGGTAGTAAAAGATTGGGCTGTCAATGAGGAAATCAACATCAAAGACATCAAGAAAGTGCCAGTATGGATTCAGTTTCCAAAGCTGAAGCTAAGGTATTGGAATCCTACCACACTGAGCAGACTTGGAAGCATGATTGGCATGCCAATTGAGATGGATGAAATGACGGCTAGCAAAGACAGAACTGGATTTGCTAGAGTGCTAGTAGAGATGGACATTCAGGAGAAGGTAAAGGAGGAAGTATGGTTTGAAGATGAACATAGTGATTTACAGGAACAAAAGGTGGTGCATAAATGGAAGCCAATTAAGTGTTTGAATTGTAAAGGATTTGGACATGGCACTACTGAAAGCAGAGCACCTGCGATCCAGAACTAGAAAGAAAAAGAACCTGTGACTCAAGAACAATAAAAAACAGTGGATAAAGGAAAGGAGAAAGAAGGGGAATATCAGTTGGCTAGAAGAAAAAGTCCTGCTAAACCAGAAGTATCAAGTCATTCAGAAGGGGAGACTGATAATATTGAGATTCAAATTATGAACCAGAAAGGAATTAAGGTGGTTGAATCTAGAAAGGTGGATAAGGTGAAGTCTGTGAATAGCATATGTTATTAAGATACTAGTCACCCTTCAACAGGGTCTGGTTATCATGAATAACATCATGACATGGAACACAAAGGGACACAATAGTTTCCTGAAACAAAAGGAAGGTGGAAAACTACCTTTCTCTTAATAGTGTTGGACTTGTGGGCATTTTAGACACCAGAATGAATGAAGACAGTGTCAAAGAAGTGATGAAGAGGAGATGGAACATGTATGATTATGTCAGTAATAATGAAGGAGGAAGTAAGGGAAGTATTATGATGTTATGGAGGAAGGGGGAATACCATGTACAGGTTGAAAAATTGATCATCAGTTTACACATTGTCTGGTTGAGGAGTATGGAATTAGAAGATACTACTTAACCATTGTGTATGCTGAGTATAATGCTCAAAGGAGAGATTCTTTATGGGATGCACTTAAACAGTTAGAATCAAAAGTTACTGGTGCTTGGCTAATAATTGGAGATTTTAACTGTGTACTTAGTGCAACAGAGAAAATGGGAGGAAGAAATGAAGTCAGTACTGATACTAATGAGTTCAGGAGTATGATTGAAGAGAATGAGCTGTGGGAACTAAACACACAAGGGGGGAGATACACTTGGT